CAAAGCGTATTTAAAACCTAGGTTTAAACAACGTTTATTTGCAGTTTAGCATTGGTTTACTTATTTAAAAAATGCGTATCGCAGTAACATTTTTAAATTCCCTTTTCTCGCGATTTCCCTCACATAAATTATAACTTAAGTATAGCCAGCTTCCCATTGGTGAAAGAATTGTTATAACCGGTCCAGTATTATCTGAACCTATTCGATGCAAGCAAACAATAAATGAAATCTTTCCTCTTTATAATATTAGTTTAAATTATTTTCACCTATGTAAACTAAATTATTTTCAAACTTTCATTTAATTTCAAAATTGAAGAACTTTACATAAAATATTTTAACTCATTATTAACCCTGTTACATGTTTACTTACATTTACATACGGTGTAAGTAATTACCAGGAGTTTATTTAGTGTTTAACGAAAATAAATGAACACAAACTATTTGGTATTGTGTAAGATTATTATGGGTCAGGATATCATGAGCTGGATCAGTTAAATATACTTAATTTCTTTTATAAGGGAGTGCAACACTGAATTTACGAAAAAAAAACCAGATGTTTCATATAAAATTATAATGCCTACAATCCTGGCCCGTAATAATCTTACACCGTATATATTGGATCTCTGTGCTTATTTTCTAATTCCAATACCAAATAGTTTTTGTGTTCATTATTTTCATATTAGTATATACAAATAGCTGGCTTTTGTCACCCGTGTATGATGTGCCAGAATTTTTAAAATCGATCCGATAGTTTCGGAATCCATTAAATACAAATAAACAATAAAAATATAGATATTTAATCAAAACCTTTCGTTTTCGTTTATCAATAGAAAGGTTTAACGTCTGGAAGCTTTCAAGCAATGAGTACGATGATACAAAATATTAATTAGTATAGAGTTAATGGTTGTGGTTTAACCTGCTCAGGTTTCAACCTTTGGTTAACATTGCAATTACTGCAATTGTTGTCTAGGTAGGGTTACCAAGTGAAAAAATCAAAAGTCCCTTGAAAAATTCTGAGATTTCGTTGCAGTTAGATTTTTTTTAAAACGTATTTAATAATTGAAAAAGGTCACGTTATTTTCGTTTTTATATACTGCGGATCTTGGGGGACATCGCTCACAGTTAGGAAGATTAGTTTTAGTTTGCTAAAGTTTTTAGTGAAGAGATTTTTAAAATGTTATTCTATTAAAAATTCTAAAATTCCTGGGATTTGCAAAATCCGAACTCTATCCTAAGAAGAGTCGAAAAATTCTGAGATCTTGAGACAAATCCTGAGATATGGTAACCCTTGTTCCAGGGAAATGTTAACAGAAAGCTTATTGTTATGGACTGTGTATTTTCAAAAGGAAATAAATAGGTAATGGAGATAGACAAGATATTTGACTCGTGTGACTTGTATGAAGTGCTAAAGAAATCGACGTTTTGTGGTAACCCGTATTGCACCTTAAGGGATAAATGGTTCGTTTTGAGTTCTAGATATTCTAATGTCCTTACGAGTACTGTTGGTGCATAGACTTGTGATTAAATCAAATATAGTGAACGGGTAATAACCTACCTGGTTGACTCAGTGCAGGCGCAGCCAGCTTTGTTATTCTTTAAAATAACCGCTTTAAACTGCTGTATGATCAGCTGTGCACAAACAGCGCCATAACGTCATGTGGCATAAATTAATTAAAAACTTTATCCTTTTTGAAGGTCTTATTTGATTGAGTTTGACGACGAGTTCGAGGTTGTTTTTATAAACGGCTTCTAAACAGCTAATATATTAATTCATCAACAATTAGTAGTAGCGACGCAGTGACCAGCTAGGTTGTGCAATATTGCAGTTTGATATTTTATGATATCTTTTACGTTTATAGTGCTATATTGTTAATAAAAACTCAATAGCACATGCACGGCTTATTGAAAACACGCGGACTAGTCTAGCAACTTGTTTTTGTTATGGTTGTTTCTAAAAAAATATGTTTCTTCCGAAAACTGAAATGACACCCGCGTAACGACACCAATCACGTATCACCAGTAGAAAGTGAGAGACGTTCACGAGACCTCTGCTTTTAGTTTATTCAATTGTCACAGGCTATTTTTAAGTAACAATGATTTTATATATAATAGCTGTTTTCACGCGATTTCGCCCGAGTAATTTATAGCCTATGTCACCGGCGTATGCGATATAGCTTCCCGTAGTGAAGAATTTTTACCTTACAAATAACTTTGCATTTATAATATTCAAGCATAGATAAACAAAGTGGCTACACGCTATTAATTTTATTTATTTTTCACGTTTGTTTATCACAAAATCGCATTTTATGAATTGTTTTTTTTTCTGTTCATTTGAAAGGGTATCTGGATGATTTAAATTGATAATTGGACACGATGGGTGGTATATTGTTTAACGCTTTAGTGTTCATTTACATTAGAATTTTAGTTTTAAGCATATAAATTAATAAATACTGTATCGTGTTTCTCTCTTTTAAAGCTTTGTTTTTATGAATTTAATGATTATAAGATATAGTTAATATGTTTGTAGTTAACGAGCCGTGTTAGTGAAGTTGTTTGCACGTAACTTCGCATAATTATGTTAACTGACAATGATACTCCGGTACATGATCCGTTATAAATGTTGTCGCAGCGCCGGCTGAGACTCTGTCAACTACGAGCATATTATATGCCTTTCGTTATACGTTACTTGGTGGTAAGGAATAGTGCTACAAATAAATAAAATGTAAGCAGAAATGGATCTGGAACTGCGTCTGAATTCGCGGCGAATTCTCACGTTCTGGATGGTCTTAGAGTGACACTACTCAGAAACGAATCTGAGCGAATCACCAATTAAAGAATTTAATTCAATTGTTTACTAAGGCTGCAACTAAAATTTATTGGGAACAGAAAAGTGAAGTCCAGATAAATTGTAATTTAAAAAAAAAGGAGAAATTACATCATGCGTAGGGTCTATCATCATGTTTATCATCTTATTATAGTTTTTTAAATTGCAAATTAATATTTATTTCACTAACTGTTTCCCCGCGAATTCGCCCGCGTAAATTAGAGTCTTTGTCAACCGCGATGATGGAGCTTCCCGTTGTTGAAAATTAGCCCAGTAGTTTCAGAGCCTGTTTGATGCAACCAAATAATCACATCTTTCCTGTTTACGATATTTGTATGTTAAGTTTTACGTGCTCCTTAATTGACTTGCTTCTTAAAGCTAACAAGTTTTCCATGTTTAAATTGTAAATAAAAATAGCACATTTCTATTTATGGTCTCACGTAATAGAGTTGAATGTCGTTTGTAAGCTGGGAATATTTATATTACATTGTAAAGTTTGTGTGAAAATATCACTGATGGCCATCACGAGAACTCTTCAACTTTTACTTTTGTGAAATTTAGTTTGAGTTGATAATTGGCGTTAAATAACACAAACCTTCCTGTCACATTATTGTGTCTATAACTGTTTAAGTTACGCGTAACATATCTCCTCAATTTACGCCGGTATGTCTCGATTACATGTCTTGTACAACTATGGAAGTCGATGTTGCACTGGTTAGTTTCTTTGGTCTTCAATTGCGGATGCTAAGCAACGTTTGCAATGGCACATTTTTAGACGGGTGACTAAAATTTATTAGTTGTACTCTTTCGGGTTTGTGGCTATTTAAGTCGTTGGTCATTAATTGTATGTACTTGTTTTATAAATAAATCCAAGATGCCTTCATTGCCTATATACTTATATGATTTATTTTAAACACATATCTTGCAAGGAAAACTTTATGGTATGTCACTTTTTTTATTTACTTGGTTGTAGTGCGTTTACCTTATTGCTCAAAGCGGTTCAATCGGATCGGACCATATACGACCTATTTATCCGCTTGCTTTAAGGAACTTTGCATTTAGTCGCTGCAAGTCGCCAAGTGAGTTGTGTAACTAGTTGCTGGATGCGATTTGTAAAACGTAACAGTCATTGGACATGCACATTGCGATTGGTTTCGAGATCTTGGTTTGTGTTATGTCATCCGTGGAAATAGTATAAGAACCTATTGTACATAGGACTGTGGTGCCAATTTTATTGTACCACAATTAACCGAATTAAATTATTATATAAAGTTTCCTATTTTAATTTAGAAAAGCTAAAGGTTATTTAAACTCAAATGTAATAAACAATACAATTAGAGTCTTTTATATCTAAATCATTTACAGAATCTAATACGTAATTTGGCAGGATTAATGCAGAATTTAGTCTAGTTTGTGCAACAAAACTGCTACTGAATATTATTGCACCTACTAAAATATGTATGCTCCAGTTTCTACACAAAATGTTCCAGCTTTTGAAAAACATTACACAAATGATTTATTGAAGATCTTTGCTTAATAATTATTAACCATTACCCAATTCAGTAAAATTTACTATCTAATATTGAAAATCATATGCAATTTAGAAGTTAATAGCCTCAAAGAGACAGATAATTGTAGAGATTAATTAGAGAGGATTATTTAAATTTATAACTAGCTGTTTTTCTATGGCTTCGTCTACGTCAATCATTATAGCTTTTGTCACCCGCGCATATCTTTATATTTATCTTTGCTATAGTTCTTGTCATCCACGTATGAGGCTTTCCATAAGTAAGAGAATTTTCTTGATTGGTTTATTATTTCCGAAGATCTATAGCTTTTCGTCAGCGGCTTCGCCCGCGTGCTCCCTAGATAACTGTTCATTTGCATATCGATATCATAACACAGATATAATTACAAAGGCAACTTAAATATTAAACAATGGTTTAGAATTCCCTATACAAACTTCCACTTCTATTTTCACACCTCTATTTGCTGTTTATCGGGATAAATTATAGCCTATGTTCACCGCACATGATGTAGCTACCCGTAGGTGAAAGTATTTTTAAAATCGGTCCCGTAGTTTACAAACTATTTCCTCTTTAGTATAGAAGTATATATATGAAGTGATTTTATATTTTGTTTCATGTATTTAATTATTATAACGTCGGTTTTCCAGGTGGAGTCAGGTCGCGAAGAGCTGAAGAAGGAAAGGGAGATCATGCAGATGGTAGCGGGTTTGCAGCTGGGTCCCGATGAGCTGGAGCGCCGGGAGGTTCCACCACATCTTATCAGATCTAGGCATGGCCCTAGGTAAATATTTGGAAATATAATAATTGCTTCTGGAATTGGGGTGGATATAAATAAATACAATGTCAAAGTTATGTGCATACAGATGATTGGTTAACTTAAAACAAAATGTAATAATATATGGTCATTAATTTCTTAATTGCTGGGGCACAAGGCTTACCTATGGATGGAATCGAATCGAATAGGGAGAATGGGCCATGAGTGTTAACGACATACGCAGCCGAGGCCTACTACTTATAGTGCCTTCCGAAGCACGGATGAGCACGAGACAATTTTTGGTCACCTCCACCATGACCCATGACTGGTTCTTACGAAACTTGCTTAACGATTGTATCGCATCAAGCTGTCACATCTAACCAAAATGTCATAAAAGTTAAAAATAGGTTGACTATTCCTTTTTAAACGGCTGACTTAACACCCAGACTTATTTACTTTTTCTAGTAGGAGCAAAATACTCGGAGTTATTTAAAATAGAAAATAGACGAAAGTAACCATTACTCCGCTTGGGGTACGACCGCTTATACCATACCGGCATAACTCTAGTCATAGGATACGTCATATGAATTTTATTGGTCTTTTGATGGATAAACGAACGACTTAAGTGCGTAACACCACTGTCAAGTCCGTAATCATCATTCTTTATCATTCGTTCGTCGCTATTAAAGTGCACGCCAAAGTAGTTAAATTACACGAAATAGCACTATCACACATTGATAAGGTGTATAGCAGTATAGCTAGAAGAGTTAAGAAATCAGTCTGCTGATCCCTAGAGCTACTAAGCGTAAGAATTTTGAATAATGAAGATACTTCCATTTGATATGTTCAGAGATGTACAAAATACCCTGTACAAAGTATCTGGAATACAAGATACAAAATACTTTTAAATTAAGTATTTCAGATACCAGATACGAAATACTTTCGAGAAAAGTATTTGAAATACTAGATACAAAATAGGTATCTTATAAATACTTTTGATAAATACAAATACTTTTCTAAAAAAAGATTTGAATTTAAGTTTGTTTATTAAAGACCACAAGAACCTAAATCTTGGACCAGATGGGACCAGGGACAAAGTGGATTTTTTAAGCATTTTTCATTAGAAACAATTTTTACAAGCTTTTATTTAGTTTCACCTGTACCGGTGTTTGTACTCAAATCTTACAAGCTAAATTTCATCCACTTTTCCTCCGTTTGGAGATAACAAATTAAAAAAGCCTGAAATATTTTTTTTTGTTTGTCAATCACAATGTAACATATAAAAATGCAAATATTTAATACATCAGGTTTAAATTATTTTAATTTTTTTTAGTTCCTTTTTAATAATAAGTTTTTTCAATATAGCATTGTGAATGAAAAATTGCTCAAATATAACAACAAGAATAATTATTTAAATTTAATTATAAAATTATTATTTATTTAAAAAGCTGGTTTTACGTACTGGTTTTACGTATTACGACGTAGACCAGATGAGAAAATTACGGAGAACTGAAAATTCATTTTTTCACCACCAAATGACACCAAACAATGTTTGGATTCAAGTTATTTTCAACTAAATATTCATTGCGTTGATAATTGGACACTTTCTTTTTGTAGATATGTATGTTTTAGGCAAAGATATTTATAAAATGTAAGAAACAATCTTTTAATAAAGTATTTTATCAGAAAAAGTATTTAAAAGATACTAAGATACTAAACTAAAGTATTTAAATAGAAGATACAAAATTCTTCCTAAAAAAAGTATTTTAGATACAAGATGAAAATACGTATTTTGTATCTTGTATCTGTATTTCAAATACTTGTATCTAAGTCACATCTCTGTATATATTCCAGGTAAACATATAAAGAGGCTGTGTATTTTTTTAATTTACATTTGTGTAGAATCCCCTGCGTGCAAGACGGATTTGCTCTTTGGCGCTTATTAAGGTTCTGTACACAAAGGGTAAAACGAGACCCTACTACAAAGACTCTGTCAGTCACCAGGCTGTATATCATGAACCAATATAGTTAGACAGTTGTAATTTTCATAGATGATGTTTTTATGATGCCGCTATAACTAAAAAATATAAAAAAACGTGTTAAAATGATTATTTAAGGGCAAAATTGTTTTTTTTTTTGCTTTTTTGATAGATCGTAGAAACGATAGTAAAAAATAACTTTATATTGAGTGAATATCATTTTTAAAGTATATTAATGAATTTAATCATCTTTTTTACAGATAACATATCGCTATAGAAGCAGGTGGTGCCATCTTTCAGTTCGAAAAAGAACTACTAGCGCGTGTGAGCGCCTGACCGGAACAACTTGCATATTACCTCGATACGATTTCAATATTGAACACAACCAAATGAAAATTATATTATGTCCCTTATAATAAGAGGCTTCAAAGCTCAAAATGAATTGCCATAGGAGCAAACCATTTTGTACGGTCACAGCAATGCGATTGCTAAATCGAATTGATATTTCGTTTATATCGATTAGTCACGAATACATTCCATATTGTACAATAATGTACCTATCAGTAATATTAATAAATGTACATACATTGAGCCAAATTATTTGTAATTAATAAATAATTAATAATTTTAAGCAATTAAATTAGCTGAATGTAAGTATAATACTTTGGGCAGTTGACATTCAGTGGTGTTTGAATGTCTAAAATCCAAATGATTCCATTTTAAGATTGTAATTATCTCCTTATCTAAATGAAATACTTAAAGCTTATCCCGACTGTACTTTGTCACATACAAAAGCAGAGCGAGCGTTGAAGAGCGATAGATAGATATTATTATGTCAAAAAGCGATACGTAATTTTCCTAAAAGATTTTGAAGAACTTCAATATAATTTTTAAGGAATTTCAAATTCATAATTTTGTTATTATTACGAAAGAGGTTTCAGTTAATCAGAATATGTTGTTATTCTTCTTAGAATTACTGTTAGAAATATCCATAATATAGTTAATAAACAGCCTAATGATGAGTCATTATCTATTTATTGTCAAAAATCGTTGGGGCAAGCTTTGATACTTAAGGTACATTTTATTTTATTACCAAGTTCTTTATAGAGTAGCTATTTATTCTGTAAAAAAAATCAGCTTAGAACCTCTATGCTATGACATCGAGTATACTGTGACGACGTAAGTTCGAGGCTGTTTTATTAACAGAATAAGAAAGCTGTAATGATGTTTAATAAATAGTTAGTATATTTGTACACTGGGTACTTCAAAAACAGAAAACTATGTTTATGTGTATATTTACCGATATTTATTAGTTCAGTACTTAATTTCTTTGTTGTATGTAATCTATATTTAGTCAACTCGAATGTGCTCGAAATGTGCCCGATTATATTTAAACACACGTCTGGAATAAATGAAAGACGAGTATCTATAGTCGACAGAAATAATTACTTATCATGAGTAAGAACTATTAATAATAATAGTATTCTAACTATTAACAGATCTTAGTTCATTCTTACTCTTGTTTATTTGGTAAAAATATCTGCTTAAGTTGCGGAAATCTCAAGTAATCACTTCTCTTGACTGTAACTAGATAAGATTGTACCTAGTTATTGATTGTTAAAAAAATATATCGAAAATGTATACGTTTGCTCTACAATTCTATGTAATCTTACAGGACATCAATTTCCATTACCTAAAATATGCGATTATTAACTCTTATCTGCGGAGTCTGTCCTTTTTTGTACGCGGTAGTTTGCGACCTGCTATAGGCTTCCCCTTTAATAAATCTTCGTGAAAATAGTACAGAGATCTTTGAATATCTTTTTTTGACGTTCACACGTAATATATGTGTCACAGTCCGTTTGTTTGTCTCTAGGAACATACTATACTAATGTTAACGTAATAATGGCATTAGGGCTCGTCGATGCGGCGTCCCCCAACGTTCGGCGCCTGAGTGCGTTGCACCCCTTGAACCACGGGTAAAAACTGGCCTGAATGGAATCTGAACTTTGTCTTGATTGAAAGCATTTTGCCACTATATTATCTACCTCCATTCCAATATTAAAATTACGATAGTGACTTAAGAAATCAATGGCGACAGATATGATTATTATTTTTTGATATATTAACAAGAACTATGTTAAAAAGAGATGTTATTGAAACATCATGGGCACACCATAATTACGTTAACATTAGCTGGATTGACACAATAGGCCCTAACCATGAGGTTTCATAGCAATGTTTAATCCGTGCAACGAGCGGGACACCGCTTTTGTTTCGTGTAGCATTAGGTATCCCATTCGCTGTACGAGTTAAAACTTGCTTTAAGAGGTGATGGTTACCACCCTGGTCGGTCGACCGTGCTCGAGCTTTAATAACTGTGGGCTTTCTTGTATGGCGATGGCACTATCTTCGAATTCTTCGGTAAATGTGTTTAATTAACATTTCAAATAATTTATCACGATAGATATTATAACAAGTTGTAGAATCGAGATCTAGGGTGTCGGAGTCGAGATCTAGGGTGACTAAAATAAAATTTGAAATCAAAATCACTTAAACGAGTACATATCTTATGTTCAATTAGTAATGCAATAATGGATTGTAGATAAGCGGTAGTTCTTAAGAGCGCACTATGTATGTGCTATAACAAAAGTTATATACACGACTTTGATTTGAAAGTTAATAGATTAACATATACTGTTAAAATAAAACATGAGATTTAAAAAAAAGATTAATAGAAATTTAAAAGTAAACGGTGATCTAAAAATATTTGTACAAAAATAGAAAGTAGGAGATTTTAACACTAATAAGTTTATTTGAATTGAAATAATATATTGTTTTTATAAGTTGTATTAAAACGAAATATTGCTCAGTCTGTGCGATCAATAACACATTATTTTTGCATTGTCTCAAATTGAATAGATGGCAGAACAGATAGCAAAAGTTCTATAAAATTTCCTTAAATATTTAAAAATATGAATAAAAATATTTTCGCACATTAGGTCACGAACTAGACTTTCAGCTCAGAATTAATGTTCATTGAAAAACGTTAAATATTATAAAACAACGAAATAGTTTAAGAATTCAAAGTTATTTATTGGACTTGTGATTTAAAAAGTAAATTACTTCGAGGTTATAATTTGTAAGCAAGCAGCAAAACTAAAGATCAGAACACTCACCCGATGTCTGGCACATACTTAAAAATATTTAGAAATGAAGTATTTCTGCGCTAGATGTCGTTTATATACTATAAATAGGTGACTTTCATAGAAAAGAAAGGTGACAGAAAAAATAAGTGGAAGTGACAAAAATCAATTAAAAGACACATTTTGGATCAAAAGTTATTCAGAAACGTGATATTAAGAATATTTAAAAATGGTTTACGTTTATTTATGATGAATTTGTATCTATATTTTATGAACATTACAAGTGAACTGAAGGTTTACTCCAAGACATTGTGCATGTCTCACATTTCGGTTTTTGCAGGTGGTTTGGTCAGAACTTTCTTGAATCACTGTTTTTTTAATTAAAAATATTATTTACATTTTTAATACACATTAAAGGATCTTATCAAAATTATGATCTGGAAGGTCGCAGGTTTTGTAATACATCATGGAACCACGAGTGCATTAATAAATCATACTTTTAGATATACAAGTTTGTGTCTGGTGAACAATATAAACTGCAACAAATAACAAATTTTCTAAGTAAGTTAAATGTTTATTAGGTTTCAATTTAATACAACGACAATTTCCAATATCAAAAGAGTTTACTAAAATATTTTTATAACATTTAAGAAATTTATCAATGTATAATGTTTTTAAACCCATAATTATTTGGATTTGTAATTTGAAAAACTTATGGCAATAGACCATAGAAAATTTAATAGACATGTGGTCGTTGTGTGAACACACATACTGAGCTATACGATAATATAGTCAGTCATTTGTTAATTATTTACCTAAAATTATTAGATTGTACAATAGGGGTGTAGACAACCCTTTTTTTTAAATATTTTTATTTTATTACAAAAACATACCCAAAAATATATATTAGTAATGTACGAGTATCATTCATATAATAAGTTAAAATCTAACAATAAATTTAATTTTCAATGTTTCCCGCGAAAACGCTAACTTCTGTCATGACGTCGTTATGACGTCATGCTTTTCTAAAATTTATATCGTTCCATGGTTACGCGCTGTTTGCGGTCATCTAAAAAAGAGTATAAAATATTTGTTTTTTCATAATTAATTTAAGTAATATTATAAATATAATAAGCATAAAAGTGTGACATCGGTGAATATTACACAACCAGAAAAAAATAGTATGTATTTATTTTCATTTACTGTCTACACTCATATTTTGAAATAAGTGATGTGTGGTTAAAACAATATTCTATCTGCAATTTAAATTATAGATGTAAATAACAATGGCGAGCAAAATGATGGTTTAAGAACTAACAACTTAAAATTATAACATTTTTATAAAATTGTATCACGTAGAAAACGAATTTTCGTTAAATAATAAAACTAGGAACTTTAAATTGTTCTGAAGGTTATTGATTTGATAATAAAAAAACGATAAACAAGATTTTTACTGATATTCTATTATTACATGAAGAAAATTTCAAGATTTTATAAAAATACATAATTTTGTATTGGTTTAATTCTAAATTATGTTAAATGTATTGTGTGTGTACAAAAACACGGTCCTAAAAATAATACTCTTTTTCAAATTATCTTATATTGATTAATTTTCTTTAAAAAAAAACATAATAGTTTGTTGATAAAAAAACACCAGATTAATTAAGGCTATGAGTGCCATTAATGTTATTTCGTTTTATAGTTATCGTAAGTATGATGGATATTATTCAAATTTATTTTTTTATTGTAGGTATTTGTAATATAGTCCCTTTTCCTTTTTATTGTATATAAAGGTTCAATATAAACTTTGTGCGAAAGACAACGATATATTTTGCTTATTATAATTTTATTAAATCAAATAAATTTAGATTATATGATTGACTTTTATTTACTTTACCTTTTTATTAATTTATTATGAATAGCAATAGTTTATTTATTACTGTAAGTCAAGTTACCGCAGTTGATTTTGAATATTACACACAATTAAAAAGTTTAGAAATCAAGTTGACGAGTTTAACATACTCGTATATTATACATTTCTTTAAAATTACTGTTGTTGATTTTGTTTGGACACTACAGTGATTAGTGGCGATTGGGTGATATTTCCGCTTAATAATACTTTCTTTTATTTTGCAATTTTTAGGACTTCAAAGTAGCCAATAATTTATATTATCTCGCTACTTAAAAATGTTCCGTTTCATTAATTTTATGCTGATCCAAAGAAGTTACTAGGTAGATTTGCTGATCCTGACGATCTACTTTGTTTGTCGAAGACTGAAACTTCGGTAGAACTATTATCGGTGTAGATTATATGTATGTACACATCTGCGCGCTTAGTGTAAGTTTTTTTGACGTTTACGTTCGTGAGCGCGTTAAGATTTTAGTATGGAATCCGGTACAGCGCCCCTAGCGGTAATTACCAAGAACTACAAATCTCCATACATATTCTTAACGCGCTCACTAGTGAACGCGTTAGCGTAAAACTTACACTTACCACTCAGAGGCAGTATCGGGTATTATCTATGTTGCATCATACATACATAGACTGATTAAGCAAATGAATACCTTTTGAACAAATCGAAATGGGTAGACAATAGGGATGATGACTAATTTTTGTTTGTTTGTCCGTCAGGTAGAGTGTTAAAAAATACGAAACACGTATTTTTTTATTTGTTTCGTAATCATAAAATTACGGCGTTACATGGAGTTGAAATTTCGCATGACGTCACGTTATGGTACGTTTTCTACTTAACTGTGACGTATCTAGCCCCCACTCCTCAACTTTAATGCCTGTTACCTAAGTTATTTCTTGTTAAATTGAAGTAAAAAAACATACTTATCTAATATTTTTCTATTATTTGACTGACGGACTAAATAGAATTGCATTTTTTTACCCAGTCGTCATCCCTATTGTAGCAATAGAAAAAACTAAAACTAGAGGTAGAATTTTTTCTACTTTTTGGCTATGGGGTATAAACTTCTGCGGTATAAAAAGTCGCAAACTCGTCGCACACAAGTTAGCGAATAGGCCCTCTGAACATTCATTTTGGTTTTGTTTGTTCTTGTATTTAATTTTTAAGATAATGGGGATTTGTGAACTTCATCAACAACTTTTTTCCACAAATCCCCATCATGAGGCATCAATGGGGATCAGTGGACAAAAAGTTCACAAATCCCCATTGATGGGGATTTCCATTGGGGATTAGTGGAATAACCCGTCGCACACAACATTGTTATAGAATAGGCTTCAATCAAATAAAACCTGTTTCAAAAGATAATAACGGTCTTATTTAATTGAAGCTCTATGACGTTACAACACTGCTGTGACATGAAGTTCAAGGTTGTTTTTTAACATCATAGCTGAAATATCAGTTAAATTTAGAAAAGTGGTCTCTTAACCAAAATAGTTTGGGGATCCCAATTCTATGTTAACGAAAGCTTATTTAAAAGGAATTTTAAACTGTGGAATACAAGCGAAACGTCATAGTAAAAAAAAAATTATAACTGTATAAAATTTTTCACAAATACCATTCCGCTTGTTATATTTGGTATGTTGGAAGTTAATTTGATCATTTAACTTTTGCTCTTGTCATACATCATAACTGCCATAACTAAGAAGATTTCTATAGAGGTTAACTATCTATTCAGATAATGTTTTTGACAGGCACAAAGGCGAAAGAAGTAGTAAATTAAAGAGGAGCTCGATGGCTTGTTCGGTCAGCTATACGGAGTTTAAGCAAATTTCGCTAGAGCTTGTCATAGGATGGTGAAAAATGTATTATCTCGAGCTACCCGTGCTTCTCGACGGCATTTGCAGTCATTAACACCCATCAGTTAGCATTGAACCCTCGTAATGGGTATCGACACACTCTATTATTCCTATTCGAATGCACCCACATTCCCACCCAATGGGGAAATTAATAGGCTGGTGATGATGAGGAAATCAAACAGATTCTAAAAAAAAATGTTAACCTATTTTCATTGTTTTTCGTCATAACAAAAAGAACATACTTTCTCATATATAATATTAGTAGGAAGTAGGTTGATGTAGTAAGCGTAATAAGTACAGTTTGTAACATAAGTCGAAATGACATTAAAAAATAAAAATTACTTAAGCAACACGTGTCAAAACAAACATTAGGGCAGTCGAAAGTAGATCAGTACGTTTATTACATTGGCTTATAAAATTACGTATATTATAAGTTATTGCAACCTTAGTTTTTTGTGAAAAATATTGTATTTAAAAAAATTACTTTAAGTCAATGCTAAAACTAATACATGGTTTATATCTATTTAAATTACTAGAGTGACTAAAATTCTATCGTCCGGATTATTTTTTATTTATGAGAAGGAAAGATTTGTTTGCTTGTATATTTGCACTGAATAGGATCCGAAACTATCGGAGCTATTTTTACAATTTTTTCACTGGTAAAGTTGCGAGAAAACAGCTAGAGATAAAACCTTTCTTTTAAATTACTTTATCCATTAGTGAAAAATCACATAAAATCTGATTTATTACTTGACTAGCTTTAACCCGTAACTACCTAGTGGGATTGTTTGGCAAATTCAAAAACA